GGCTCACCCACTACATCTAAAATTTGTTTTCTTTTCTGGTATAATCTTAGTCTCTCCCTTCTGCCTTCCACTATAGGCTTTTCCCCAAAGCTGAGTCCTTAATTTCTTATTTTCTGTCTTCTACTCAGGAGAGATTTCTCACAGCTTCAACTATGACCCCTATTTGCCTTGTGTGAAACAGCACCATCTCACCATATAACCTTAAAAACATCATTTAACCTCTGAGACTGCTTCTCATTTGTAAAATGACTTAAATGGTTATTATGGTTCCTTCGGCTTTAGGAGTCTTTGAATTCTGTTAAAGGCCTAGTATGGCACTCTGTTTCTGGTTTTTTTCTCAGGCTGATTCTACTTCTTGCCTTTTTAAATGCTGGTGTATCCTGTGATTGCAAGTGACCAACTTTTCCAATCTGTACTGTTTCTCTAAGAATCTCATAAACTCTTCATTATGAGTCTCTGAAATGTATAGGGTACCCTGGACTTCACTCTTAAAGCTCCAGATTTAGGGGCACCTGGCTGGCTCAGTCGGTAGAGCATGCAACTTTCTTGGGGTTCTGAGTTCAAGTCCCACATTCGGCATAGAGTTTACTTAAAGATTAAAAAAAAAACAAGCTCCAGATTTACATTTCTATTCATTGCACAGGATTAACTAGATAGGCTACCAACCCCTTTAAAGGTATCAAGCAAACCGAAGAAATTATGTGCAGCAAACTTCTTTGTCAGTATGGCTTAGTGATCAAAAAACAAGTTTTAGGATTAGATGTATCTGAATTTGAATCCCGGTTTTATCACTTATTAGCTGTGTAACCTTGATCAAATTAATGCTGAGTCTCCATTTTTTCGTATGTAAAATGGGGTTTAAAATAGTACTGACAACTCATATCGTTGCTGTATGCATATGTTTTACATATACAGCTTGGAACAACACCTGAAATATGCTAACAGCTCAATAAATGTTAGCTATTATTATCAATGCATCACCATCTTCCTAGTTCTCCAGATTTAACAACTCAGTCATTTTCGATGCATTGTTCTTTTTTAAAAAAAAAAAATAAATGCAATCAGCATTTGTACATTTTCATTTTCCAATATGATCTCTATTTTTCATTCCTTCAGAGATTTAGATTATTATTGCAGCCACCCAACCAGATTACTAGATTTCTTAATTCTTACAGGTTAAAGCCTCTTCTTTTTTTCCTTTGTATTAGCTAGTATAATGCCTTACACAGAAAAGTTTTGCTATTACTAGATGAGTCAAATAATCTTTACATTTATTTATTTATTCCTCCATTAGATCCCCTGAGCTCTCTGAGGGCAGAAAGTGTTGGTCCTCTTTGTACATCTGCACCTGCCAAATTCCTTAACAAATGTTTGTTCAACGAATGAATGTTGATTAGTCTCCCTATCTCAATCCCAGTAAACCTATCCTCAATCTAGCTTCCACATATACAAAAGGTAGCTCATATACTCTCGAATCCAACCATTTATTCTGACCAAACTGGCCTGACCCCAATATTATCAAGAGCAGTCTCACAGTATTAGTCAGGACTCTTGATTTTGTATCAAAAAATTCTGCTCAAATTAAGCAGAGAAGGGAATTTATTAGCTTGCATAATTTGAAAGTTCAAGGACAGCACTAACTTAAGGCCTGGCTATTGTTCCAAAGGTTCAAACACAATCACCAGAACTTGGTCTCACTCTTTCCATCATTTGGCTCTGCCTTCCATTTATTGGTAAGTTCCAGGCTCACACTGTATTCTCTCAGCAACCCCAGGGTCCAAAGCATGCCTCTTTCTCAATAGCTCCAAAAAAAAATTCAGAATTAACAGTCATGTGTGCTGACTGGAAATGTGCCCATCTCTGAACAATCACTGTAGCCAGAAGGATGGGCTACATAAGATTGGTGAGGCCTGCCTCAGTCATGTGCACACCCTTGTGTTGGGGCGGGGCATCCATAAAACCAAGAGGGGTGATTTCCTAGGAAAACTGGAGTATTGTTATCAAATGAAAGAGGAATGCGTAACGGACTGGCAAAATTAACTTATGTGCCATATACGCTAGGATTTTTTGCATGTTGTCCACCACTGCCTACAATGGCTTTCCTTCTTATTTCTGCCTACCCAAATCCAAGCTACATCCTTTCTGCCCCAAAAAGTCTTCTATGATTTCCTTCTAAGATTTTCCTTGTCTGCTGGATCAAGTTACCTATTCCCCAATAAATATTTCCCCTTTCCTAAAGATCTACCTTTTTTAACAAGCAAGAGTGAAAAACCTCAAGAAAATGTTCCTGATGAATTCTAATCATGTCAAATTATAAATGGTATGGGTAATATATGCTGTTTCTTAGAATATAAACTCTTGAAGGACAGCAGCTCTACCAGATACATTCTATACATTATGAGAGAACAGACTGCATGGCAACTTTGATATATATCTATATCTATTATAATATATATCAGATATATACATTATATATAGATAATATATATCACATATTATCTATAATACAGATATTATAATATTTATCTATATTATATATAGATATATAAAATATTCAAATAATTTTCCTGGCTTTAAATTTTAAAGAATCTAAACAAAACATTTTAGCTAACATAAGTTGTGTCTGAATTCATCAAAGTACCTGATATTACAGGTACACTATGGTTTTGGAGTTACCTCAAACCAGGCTCAAATCCCGGCTAATATGCCTCTCCTGGCCTTTAGCTACAGGTCTTTGAGCAAATTATCTAATATCTCCAAACCCTGATTTCACTAACTGTAAAAACAGCAATAGTAATATCTATCTGAACATTCGGAGGCTATGTGGCATAGCAGAGAGGAAAGAGTTAGATGGACCTGGGCTGAAATTCTACCACTTATACTAGTTACATGACTTTCTCTGAGTGATTCCTCATCTGTAAATTCCCAGTGCCTGTTCATATGTAAAGTGGGGATAATAATGCTTAGTCCATTGGTTGTTTGAGCATTTAATAAGGGAATGTATTTTAAAACACCTAACAATGAATAGCACACTGTATACTCAATAAATGATGATATCCACATTAAATTATCTGTTTAAAATAATTCAGAGGGGCACCTGGCTGGCTCCCCAGTTGTAAGAGTGTGTGACTCTTGATCTCGAGGTCGTGAGTCTGAGGCCACATTGTGCGTAGAGATTATTTAAAAATAAAATATTTAAGAGGTGCCTGGGAGGCTCGGTTAGTTAAGCAACCAACTCCTGATTTTGGCTCAGGTAAGGATCTCAGGGTTGTGAGACTGAGCCTGTCGGCTCCATGCTGGGTGTGGACCCTGCTTAAGATTCTCTCTCTCCCTCTCCAAAAATAAAAAATAAAAAAAATAAAAAAATTTTAAAATAAAATTAATTCAGAGCACAGTAAGGGAAAAATTCATTAGGATTAGTTATTTTTCTTCATAAATAGCTTTGGGTTTTCTTTGTTAGTTAATAAAATATTTCTTAAAAGCAAAACGTGTTAGTCCTAGAACTATTTGAAAGCGGGTGAGATAATGAACCAGATAAACTCCTGTAATCAACTTGTTCTTTAGCTTCAGGCTTAATGTAGTAATACTGAAATGACTCACACCAATATAAAATCACTATTATTACCCATCTCCTGAACAATCATATGCCATATAGCCATCTCCTGAACAGAATCAGGAAATCTGGGGTATGACTGACAATTTTAGATGTTGTCCATCAGAACATATGCAAAAAGCAAGTGGCTGCTCATATTTACCTTAGCAAGAAAGTTTAATTTTTATAACATTCACTAAAAAATACAAACTATCTTCAGTACAACTGTTTCGAAAAAGAGATTAAATAATTAGACATTTACTTTCTTCCATTTTACACTAGAGTGAAAGTTTCTCTGTAAAGAAGGTTCTTGAAGTAGTTTAACAGTTCCATTTATTTTTCTAACACGAGTGAATCATATGTAATACTCATCAATCTTTAATACGTGCACATAGAAAATTATTAAATCAAATTTTAAAATAAAGTAAAATGGAATAAATACAAGACACAAAGTACTATACATTCTTTCATTGCAAAAAAACACTATATCAAAATCAAATACCTAACTACATCATACTATACAAACATGAATAAGGAATTTTTTTTCCTCCTTTGTGTTAAACATGAATAGACTCAGTTTTTAATCTACTCCCTGAGGAAGCTATATTTTAAACACAAGAAAAACATATTATGTTGAACGCCTCAGTCACCAGACATTGTTCTCTACAACTAAGAAAACCAAATAATACCCAATTCCTTATTACCTTTCCTGTGTTCAAAAACATGTATAAAACAAAGTAATGTTTATTTTTAAAAAGCATTAAATACAGACACGGTAGGCAATAAACGTATCTTTTCTTCCCTCAACTTTTCTGGGAGGGCATGAGGAGAGAGAAAAGTACTATGAGCCTGAAGGCTGGCTCTAGTTATTTCCACAAGTTAACTCTCGTAAGTCAACCAGATAAAGGCAGAGAAAGAAAAGTTACAGCCCAGGGTTCACATTAAAAACAACTCTCGAAGAAACGCCAGTGCTCAGATCAACGCTTCCCCGACGACGCAGTGACCAGTGCTGCTCTGATCTATTAAGAGCGAGCTACAATCCCCAATCTTAGCGAAGCTGGCATCCCAAATCTGAAAGGGCCTGCAGAAGCCGGGGCGGGGCCAGGGTCTGCCTCCGCAGCGGCAGAAGTTAAATTTTCTAGGAGAGTAAAACCCTACCCATCTCGCCCTACGGTCCTCTTCCCCGAGAGATGCCGCAGTCCGCCGCCTCGCCCCGGGCTCGGGGTCCGGCCCGCAGGCCTGGGGGGGCTGGCCGGGTTGGGGCAGTCGGCTTCTCCCCGTTACCCGGGTCCCAACCAGGCGCTATGGACCGGTTGCTGGAACTACCCCCAAGTCCTCCCACCGGCTGGAGCGGCCTGGGTCGCGCCCCAGGCCCCTGGTCGGCAGGGATGCCCCATGCCCCACTCACCCGCCCGGGTGGTGTCCGTCAGGTCGTGGTTGGCCGCTCCCCGGGGAAACTCCCTCAGTTTCCGGCCGCTCAGGCTCAGCACCCCGGTCACTGCCGCCTCCTCCAGCGCTCGATCGAGGGAGCGGCTCCACGAACCCGGGCCAGGACCAGGGCCTGTCCCGGAGCTTGGGCCGCAGTTAACACCGGAGAGGTTACCTCCCGATGCTACCTGGCCAGAGTACTCTGCAGCCGTGGCCACAGCAACTAAGCCTGCAGCCGCCATTTCCAACCAGCAACTCTCCAGCCCACGGCTCAGCGCATGCGCTGCCAGAACTGATGGATGGGCGGGGAAAGGGGCAATCTGACCCCGGACGGTTCCCTCGATGGGCAGGGCTGCAGCGCCCCTCCGCGCTCCAGGCGCTCGCGTCCGCCCACATCGAGGATTTCAAGCGAAATTAAAACGGAACTCACATATCTGGAGCAGCCCCTCTTGTAGACTCCCAGTAGCATTTTTAACATGCCTCTACGAAAAAATCTTTCAGACAACGCTCCTCACAGAAACTTCTCTGCCTTCCTCAATACCGGAGGATTAGATTAAGCATTAAATTAAGGCTTCTCAACACTGTTGCTGCTAGAAACGTAGGCAATGAGAGGAGGGAACCCTGGGATACGACCTATAAAAGGTTTTCCCAACTGCTGTCATTCTATACACCAAGTGATCTAGATAGAGACGTGGATTTATGAACTACTATTGTCAGAGGGAAAAATAAGTGCTAAATTGGCTCCCAAACTCATGATCCTCATTGAAAGTGTTATGTTTTGGGTCCTCCCTTTCATAAAATAGATCTTAACAAAAATATACATTTTATTTTATTTTTTTTAAAGATTTTATTTATTTATTTGAGACAGAGAGAATGAGAGGGAGGAGGGTCAGAGGGAGAAGCAGACTCCCCGCCGAGCAGGGAGCCCGATGCGGGACTCGATCCCGGGACTCCAGGATCATGACCTGAGCCGAAGGCAGTCGCTTAACCAACTGAGCCACCCAGGCGCCCCAAAAATATACATTTTAAATAGTATTTGTCCTTTAGGCAAGATTTTATTGTTGAACAAATCAGGATGAACAGCATTAAAGTCTAAAATTTTTGTCTGGAACCAAAATTGAGGAAAAGAAAATGATCTGACTATAATCTAAATGTGGGAATTAGAAATAAAATGGAAGAAATGAGAAAAGACAAAATCATTTACTGAAAACCTGGAAACTACTATTCATTTTAAACCAGTTAGGCCTCATTTACATTGTAGCCAGTCTCCAGCATATTCTTTTACACATTTAAGCCATTCCTACTACATGATGTAAATTCCCCTACAATCAATCGACTAGTATTTGTGGGAAATAAAAGAGGCTGTCAGGGCCCTTTTCCTAGGAGATTACAATCTAATAATCCAGACAAATATACCAATTAGAGAAGAAAAAAAAAAAAAGGCTGAGCAGAGGTAGTGGGGTTAAGCTATCAGAATTCAGAGAAAAGCAATCTGTATCATGGATGAATGGTTTTGAATAAAATCTGAAGGACTATGAAATAGGCAATAGTAGGAAGGTGAGAGCAATATTCCAGATTGGGAGGAGTATCAGCATGAACACACCCAGGTATGATTTATAATGGTCCATGTGGAGAACATTTAAGGCCAAAGCCAAAAAGTTCATGAGCCAGCAAAAGAAAATAAGGTTGGAGATCTTATCATTCAAAGCCTGACTCTTCAATGAAACTTTGATTATCACTTCCCCCAACTCCTAGATGGAAGAGATTGTAAAAACATTTAATCTTAGTGACAAAGTTGATTAGTAACAGTTGCTCAGAGAGTTGTTCTATGAACATTCCAGGATCTTCAGCAGCAAATTCCATGACCGATTATTAATGTCTGTGGTGAGCATGGGTCATTGCAATGGCAAGTGATGTGTCAGCTCAAAAAAATTTATCCATGTTTTTTGTTATTCTGATCTTTCTAAATTGTTCTTCTCAGAAAGATTTTAAGCTATTTAAGAGCAGGACCTCATTTTGTATTTTTTTAAGAAATATTTCAACCTCAAAATATTTCAACTACAGTGACTAAAAGCATAATCATATTCCATATTAATGCTACAATGCTAGTTACCAGATATCTTTATAAAATGCACCATTATGTCATCTGAATTTGATTACCTATTACCTTCCACATTTACACTAAATTCTTCTAACAAGTTCTCCGTAATATGGCCTCATTCTTCCTACCTACCTATACACGTATCTCATAATTGCAACATACCATGCTAATTAATCCTGGTCTCTGAACTTCTGACCAAGTTTATAGACTGTCGTTACTTTGTCTATCAAACTACATTTTAAGGTCATTAATACATTAAACTCTGTAATTACCTTCCATACCCCAGAGCTGAGTATTTTAATAGGAGCTAAGGACGAATGGAAGCAGACACAGATGAGTTACGTACTAACACAGCAGAGGTTATATACTACTATGAAAAAGAAGGCTTGGTTGGAGAGAAAAACAGAATTTTTTTTTTTTAGAACAGGGTAGATAAATCTATAGGTATTTGAAGTCCAAAAGAAAAGCCTGTGGATAGGAGAAATGAAGATGCTACATATACCGTAAGAACAAGTCCTAGGTAAAGAGAGGCTGGAAGAAAAGTAGATCAAGGTATTAACTTTTAAGACCTCTAAGGATTTTAGCTCTCATCTACAAAGGTAGAATATGAGGGAATTCTCATCCTACTCCCTTAGTCTTCCCCATAAAACAAGTGAGAAGATCATCTTGTGAGAATGAGATACAGGAAATGGAATCACTGTGCGGATTTCACCAAAGTGTCTAGTGATGAATAAAGGTGATGAGAAACAGTTGAAAAAAGGCTATGAGCAAAAAGGCTACAGGGGCCTATAACTTATTCTACAACCGCTCTGTGGTTTGGAAGCAGGAGCTGAAAAAAAAAGGCAGTGAGGGTTATTGAATGTTAGGAATTGATATAGAGAACTTCCTACTTCTCTAAAAGTTAACTCATTGAATGAATACCAGGGGCAATAGTTTCACTCAAAATCTGAAGAATTTTCCACCTTTGTATCTCACTACCTCATGCAGAAATAAAGTCCTTTCCCCCTTCTACTCACTAGAAATATGTTGTAGTCACTCCTTTAAGACTCCATTTTTATAAACTCAAAAGCAGTGGGATTACAATCTTGACCAATCTTATGCTCTTCAAATGTAATGCACAGAAACTGGCTTGTTGAATACACTCAATGTTTGGTTCTTCCCTTTCTGACTCCTTTAGTAAGCAGTGCTAATAACTGACTTTTTAAAACTTTATACAAGAAAATTTAGACAATCTTTTCTTTTTTTTTTTTTTAAGATTTTATTTATTTATTTGAGAGAGAGAGAATGAGAGAGCATGAGGGGGGGGGGGAGGGTCCGAGGGAGAAGCAGACTCCTCGCTGAGCAAGGAGCCCGATGCGGGACTCGATCCCGGGACTCCAGGATCATGACCTGAGCCGAAGGCAGTCGCTCAACCAACTGAGCCACCCAGGCGCCCTAGACAATGATTTTCTTCTCATTAGAGCAAAGTGGAAATAGAAGTAAAAATTAGACACATATACACTAGGGAAATAATTTCCTTTTCATCTTTAAACATCAATAAACCTCATCCAAAATACAGCTCAGCTCTAGCATGTTACTACTTCCTGGTTTCATCAAGCTTTTTGGTAATAGATTTGATAGGAGGAACATAATGCAGGGGAAAAAAGAGGTGTTAGAAGTCAACAATTTATTTTTTTAACAGATTTTATTTATTCATTTGAGACACAGAGATAGAGAGCATGAGCAGGGAGAGAGGCAGAGGGAGAAAGAGAAGCAGGCTCCCTGCTGAGCCAGGAGCCCGATGTGGGGCTCGATCCCAGGACCGAAGGCAGATGCTTAACCATCTGAGCCACCCAGGCACCCCAGAAGTGAACAATTTATAAGAAATTCTTTAAATCCTGGGGCGCCTGGGTGGCTCAGTTGGTTGAGAGTCTGCCTTTGACTCAGGACATGATCCCAGGGTCCTGGAATCGAGCCCCGCATCAGGCTCCATGCTCAGCAGGGAGCCTGCTTCTCCCTCTGCCTGCTTGCCTACTTGTGATCTGTTAAGTAAATAAAATCTTAAAAAAAAAAAATCTTTAAATCCCTATAAATAGCCCACAATAGTGTAAAATTCCTATTGTAAATTCTTGGGATTTATTGTTATCACTTTTAAAAGGGAGTAACTTCAAATTGATCTACGTAAAAACTGTCTTTAAAAGGAAGCTTAAATCACTTTTAAATATACAGTGACTAATAGAACAATCATAATTCTGATGAAAGTTCAAAAATCAGAAATGAAGAAATCATTTTCTGCCCTGATACTGCCTGTATTCAGAATGTATGGTATTCAATCTTTGTAGTCCAAAGTCAGCTATATTTTTCTCACTCTTACCTCCTTATAGCTATAAATCTAAATCAGGACAAAAATTACCCCAACACATTAAGAAACAAAACAAAGGAGCAAAGGGAAAAAAGACAAACCAAGAAAGACTCTTAACTATAAAGAAATGGTTACCACAGGGGAGGTAGGTAGAGGGATGGGTGAAATAGGCGATGGGGATTAAGGAGGGCACTTGTCATGATGAGTACTGGGCGATTAAAATAAAAAAAATTAAAATTAAAAATTATCCTGAAACTGTGCATACTGTGTTAATTATAAGGCTGACAGCAAAACAGGATATACATATTTATTTTACCAAGAAATTATCACTGGGCAATGCAGCCTATAAGTTTCTTTATACTTAAAAGTATTTTATGATGTTTATAATTTAAATTGTGAAATTTATGCCTATTAGGAAAAAAATACATAATGTCTACTTAGGAACACTGGCCTCTTTTAAGACATCTACATAACTTTAATACCGAAGTAAAGAAGTCTCAATAATCATGGTAGAGTAGATTTACTTAACCATGCTACAAATGCTAAAGCATGGCTATTACCATTTCTTAGATGTCTGACAGCCAAACATTATTCCATCACCTTCTTTGGGTGTTCAAGTCACAGCAGCAGTTTATTATGAACTGAGAATTAAAAGACCTGAGCTCAAAAAGTGACTCTCTCACATATAAGTCTTTGAAAAGCTGAACCTCACTTAACTAAGATGTAGACAGAGAAGTTGAAATGGATGATCTTGAAAGGTTCATCTAGCTTGAAATGCTGCATTCTAAGTAAATTTACTTCTTTATTTTATTTTATTTTAAAGATTTTATTTATTTGAGAGAGAGAATGA